TTCCCATTGGATTTGGAGGATCTTCCACAGGCAGCATTGATGGTACTTCTCCAACAACTTTAGATGTCTCCTGTACATTGTCCATGTCTCAGCTACATACAGCAAGGTGGGGATTATGACTGCTTGATAAACCGTGAGCTTGGTTTTGGATCTGATGTCATGATCTTTGAACACCCGTTTCTTCATATAGCCAAAGGCTGCACTTGCACATTTGAGACACTGTTGGATTTCTTCATCAATGTCAGCGTTCTGCAAGAGATGGCTTCTGAGGTACAGGAAATACAGGCATACCTCGTTTTATTGCGCTTCGCTTTATTGCGCTTCGCAGATACTGCGTTTTTTACAAATTGAAGGTTTGTGGCGACCTTCATTGTTGTCTTATTTTAAGAAATTGCCACAGCCACCCCAACCTTCAGCAACCACCACCCTGATCAGTCGGCAGCCATCAACATCGAGGCAAGACCCTCCACCAGCAAAAAGATAACGACTCGCTGAAGGCTCAGATGATGGTTAGCATTTTTTAGCAATAAAGTATTTTTTAATTAAGGTATGTACATTGTTTTTTAGACATAATGCTATTGCACACTTAATAGACTACAGTATAGTGTAAACATAACTTTTATATGCACTGGAAAACCAAAAAATTTGTGTGACTCGCTTTATTGCGATATCTGCTTTATTGCGGTGGTCTGGAACCGAACCCGCAATATCTCTGAGGTATGCCTGTACCTGGTGTTCTCCAGAGTCTGACCAGGGCCTGGATTACCAGAACTGGGGACTGTTTGTTAGGATAGATCCTTTACTGAGAACCACTGCTTGCATACTGTCATGGAGCAAGGAGAGTATGGTGATTAAATATCTGCTTGGTCTGCAACTGCTTATTCCTCGAGAGTTACTTCTGTTTATTTTGCAGCTGACCTTCCCTGAAGGTCATTCCAGTATCTTCCCCCTGTGGATGTGTGCCACAATCAAAGACTAAATGCTGAAGAAGTGATCAAGGTTTTAATTCCAATTCTTTCTTGGAGATGGCCTTGCATGTCCTTTTCAGTCTGTGTGGATATTTACATTATTTTAATTTAGTTCTTCACCAGCTTCAGCTATCAGTATCTGTTCCCCCAATTTCCATCACCTAGAGCAGTAGTTGTCCACTCTCTTGGACTTAAGGCACAACTCAGAAAATACCAGCTCCTTGCTTTCACTCACATTTTTGGTTATAGAAAAACAACAAAGCAATTGTTCTGCTGCAGAGAACTTGAAAAGATCACAGCAGGTCAGGATGTGGATCCTGTGGATTCTTCTTTGAAATCTTGAGTTTCTCTTGTGATTAATGTAGGAGCCATGGCACCTTCATTGAGGATCAACGATCTGGAGTAGAGCTCAACAGCCTTCAGTAGTGGAAGGCTGAATTAACAAAGGCTCAGTCATGAGGAGGACCAGAGTTTAATATAATTGATCTTCAACAGCAGTGTGACAGCAGGTGGCTCCTTCGCAAAGCACATGTACAAGAACTACTGGACTTGCCCCAACTCCTTGCAATTTCTCAGAAGTGGGAGACTTGCACAGCACCCACCACAGGAAACCTTGACTCACCGCAAGCCCTAGGGCAGTGGTTCTCAACCTTGTTTGACTCAAGGAAAATGTCCTCTGTTAGTTTTCATTCATTTTTTTTGACTACAGGAAAATAATAGATCAGTTTTTCAGAGTACTTGGAAAGACCACAACAGGTCAGAATGTGTGGTGTTTTAGTGAGTGGGAGGCTGTTTTTTATTTTTGTTTTGTCTTGGTTATTTTTAATACTGTGGATTCCTGTTGGAGATCTCTGGGTTCATCTCGTGAACCCTGTTTGCACGCCTAACAGTGCTAATATTGTGTGGCAACCTGCGTCACCCTTGAAAGAATCTCAAGTTACCCCAGGGTGCTGTGGCACCCTGGTTGAAAATCACTTTCCTAGGGTGAGATTCCTGGCCCTGCACATCCAGAGGGAGTTGGGAGGAGGGCAGCCCTTGCTCACATGCCAATTGAAGGCAGGTCCCACTCCCCACGCTGCAAACCCCAGCAAAAGGTTTACCTGCTGCAATCTAGCAAGCACTGCCCCATACACATTGTTACCTGACTGCTCTGCCAGTTCCTGTCTGTCAGGAACATGCTGGAGCTCTGTTCCAGTCTCAGGCTGCTGCCCAGAATGTGGCCCTTGAATCTCCAGGACCTGTCAGACTTCTGGGGACATCCTGAAGCACAGTTTGCTTCTGGATGTGTGAAAGAAGTGCTGTGGCTGCATGTCCATTCTGTACCATGTGCGGGTAGCAGCTGCAGAGACTGGGAGAGAAGCCCCAGCATGTCCCCAACCAGTCCATGGTGCAGAATGGCTTGGGGACACTTGGAGGAGCTGCAGCTGCATGGTCCGTTCTGTGCTGTGTGCTGGGCAGTAGCTGCAGCACTAGTGACTGAGCCAGAGGTGCCAGCATATCCCTGACCATCTGGCACACGGTGCAGAATGGGCCATTCAGCAGTTGTGGTTCCACCATGTGTCCCAAAATTGTTTTGCATCATACACTGGGCTGGTTAGAGACATGCTGCCCAGTGCGTGATACAGAACAAACCATGCCGCCTCCTCATCTCCATCTCCTCCTCTCTCTGTGCTTTGGGATGTTTCTTGCAGTATGCTGGATTGCAGAGCCTGGCAGGCCAACTAAAAAAAGGTAGGTGGGCTGGATCCGGCCCGTGGGCTGTAAATTGCTGAGCCCTGATCATCCTTAACCGGGAAGGAAAACTATTCCTCCACAGGATTAAACTTGTGCTTCTTGTATTACACTCGGCGTGTCTACATGAGATGCTGTGTTGCCATAGTGATGAGGTATGGAAACGTAGCTCATTTCTGTGGCAATGTAGCATTGGCAGGCGCGAACCGTGATGCTGAGCGGTGGCTCATTGCTACTGCTGAGTAGGGTTGGAAATGACCTGGGCACTGCCAGGTGCAGTAATGGCAGTTACTGTGTAGTCCTTTAGTACTTGCTAAAGCAAATACTAAAGGACTGCACAGTAACAAATGCACAGTTGGGGGCACATATAGACACATCCACTATGTTCATGTGAGAATGGTAGAAACTAGGGCTGTGCAAAGCTTTGGTCCATGATTTGATTTGGCTCGATTTTGGTGGCTGAATCTCCAAATCCAGATCGAATCAGAGGACCCTTTTAATCTCTCTGAATTGAATTGGAACGCTCCAAATCAATTCGGAGAGATTCAGAATGATTTGGTGATTCAGACATAGGCACAGCTTTAAGTGTTTTTTCTACATACCTCTAAGTACCAGGCGGCTCATGAGTGTTGCGATGCTGGGGCACATGGAGTGTCTCGCAGAAGTGCAGGGGGCTCCCCAACGTGCTCGGCAGCAGACCCTGGAAGTGGACCGGAAGCAGTTCCGGTCCACTTCCGGGTTTGCCGGGAAGTGCACAGAGGCCCCCCCCCCATGCCCCCCTGGCTCAGCGACTGGTGCCTCCTGGGTCTGGGGGGGCACCTGGGATCCCCTCGCAGCCAATTGCCAAGCTGGGGGGGGCATGGTGAGGTCCCCCAGCACGCTGTCCGTTGGACCCAGAAGTGAACTGGAGATACTTCCGGTCCACTTCCAGGTTTGCCGCTGAGCATGTGCCCCCCACCCCGCACTCCTGTGGGATGCTCCATCTACCCGAGCATCGCAGCATTCACAAGCCGCGCTGGTACCTTGAGATATGTAGAAAAAACATGTAAAGCTGTGTCTGTGTCTGAATCACTGATTCTCCAAATCAGCATCGAATCTTCAGATCCCGATTTGGCCAAATCAAATCGGGGGCAGTGATCTGAATCAATGAATTGAATCACTGTCCCCGATTCGAGCCAAATCCGAATTGAATAGGGCCTACTTCACACATCCCTACTAGAAACAGTCCCTGTAATGCCTTTCTGCCTGCATGAAGGTGTGCGTGCACAAAATTCAGTTTCTCAGTTCTTTACACAAGAATATCTTAAATGTATTATAGATAAGAGAGGAATTAAGAGGCATAGGTGAGAGATTCTTTTCCAGTAATTATTTTTAACTATTACTTTATAACAGCAAACTGCAAAATATAGTTTTGCTTCTAAAGAATCCTTTTGTGCATATCCTCACTTGGTTTAGGTAACCTAATGCTTACGTAAGTGAGACTACATGGTAGCATTCTGTCATAATTGCATCTCTTGGATACCCAAAAATACATGATATTGCAGAAGTTAGTGCATCTTTTGGCATAAGTTATTACTTCACACCAAAAATAAGTGTCAAAAAATGTTTGTATTTAGGCAGTTTTTATACACATGGTAAAGTATTGATCTACCTAGCCTCTTCAAAAAAAAAAAACAAAAAACAAAAAAACCCCAAAAAACTAAAACAAAACTTGTTATTGTAAAGCAGTCTCTTAGCTTTTTTACATGATAAAATTGTAATGTAGTTTACATATTGTAACATTCATAAAATGGTTTTGCAGAATTGGGGGTGTACTCTTAAATCAACTTTTTTGTTTGTTTGATGGACTTGTAGCATGTGATGTATTCCTCCCCTTCTCCCCTCCCAAGCTTTTATGCTTTGTGTCCGTTCTGTACTTAAATTCTTAAAGAAGGATATAAAATGTGAGGTAGGAAAGCTTCCAGTACACTAGTTGGTACTGTTTTGCTTGCAGAGAGGTATGTGTGGCTTGCATTTTTATTCTGTCTGTGCACAGAATATTCCTAACTTAGTAGAATGAAACACTTGGTAGTATAACAGTTAACGCTTTTTTTACTTGTTCCCTTGTCTCCAAGTGGAATTCAATATAAAGTTTGTTTTTTGTAAAGAAACCTCAACCAGTCATCCTGACTTGTCATTGGAACACACCTGAACTAATGAGGGAAAATAAGGATTTGAGTTAATGTTTTATAAAGTTGTAGCATGGGACCCTTACCTGTAAGTGATGTACCTTATCTCTTGGGGTTTTTTTTTTTGTCTTAGTTGCTCTTCTGCAACGGGTAGCAGAATTGGAAAAAGTCAATGCTGAATTTCTGCGCACAAAGCAGCAACTTGAGCAAGAATTTAATCAAAAGAGGGCAAAATTTAAAGAGTTATACTTGGCTAAAGAAGGTAAGTTCTGAGTTCTCTGAATTATTTTAAAGATTTATTAATTAAACTTTAAGTCTCTAATAACCAACCTTCTTTTCTCTTTTATCTGGTGATAGGGAAATAAGGTTTTAAAGGAACACACTTTTTATATTGACAATGATATTGTTGGCTGTTCAGCCAGATTAGTGAAATGGGTCTGTTGGTTCTTATTAGCCGAGAAAGAGAACGCATTTTCCTGCCAGCGTTTTAGTGGCAGGTATAAATAAGAAAGTGAGCAGAAGGGAAAGGAGAGAATCCTAACCACTGTTTATTGACCTAATTAGCATTTCAGACCTTATTAACCATTCTTCTTGGTAAACCTATTGAGAATCATACGTAATTTAATCTTCAAACCATTCTTTCTGTAGAAATCTGAGAGAGATCGTAAGGTGGAAAACAGCCATTCTGATGGCTGTCAAAGCAGTTGAAAAGCGCATAACATTCCAAACTGTCCTATTCATTGCTTAGAATAAGATAATAGTGATCTTCAATTTCTTTTCATTTTTTATCACATGGATGATGTTGTGATAGTATCTGCAAGACATCTGTGCCCTAGTGATAACTACAGCTATTCTTCCTATGGTAGCTTAATGTTAGGAAAATATTTGATTAATCTTAAATTTCTGCTAACAGGTTAGGTCTTCAGCACTGCTCCCCTTTTTAATGCAGCAATAAGTGTTAATGGAAACAGTTCTATGTGTCCAAGCATTTTTACAAACATCCAGGCCACTCAAGGCACACCTCTATAACTTTTGTGAATTAACTGGCACCCAATTTGAAAAACTAATGTATAGATTACAGTGATTGCCCTTTTGCAGTGAGGATGGGGGATCCTCCAGGCAGGTGACCTGACATCTTGGTTGAGAATTGCTGATCTAGGTTTTTCTTTGCTGCATGGGTGACTGGTGCCACCTTAGGGGGGCACATGCCCCTTCAGTGACCAGCCAGCGACTGGGGTGGAGAGGCATGTCCCCCCCGCAGCTGGCCGCGCCAACCAGGAAGTGGCTGCAGCGGCGCTTTCCACTTCCCAGCTGGTGTTTGCAGGGCACCGGCGCTCCTGCCTGCCCCCCCGCCTGTCGCCTAAGTGGGGAGTGCGGCCTGTCGGGGTGCTTCAGTGCTCTTGGGGGTGTACGTATACCCCCATGCACCCCCTATGCATCACCACTGCTTTGCTGCTTGCAATCTTAATTGCAGTAAAAGCAGCAGCTAGGAGAAAGGAGATAATACCCAATAATTTATGACCTGCTTCGTGGTGCTGAGCAACCCTGATATGCTGGTGCCCTGCCCATGCCATTGCCCCTTACTTCCCAACCACAGCCCCCACCCCGCTGGTGTGCCCCTCATTCCCCACCCACAGCTCCCTGGGCATGTGGTCACCCATACCCCTCCCAGAAGTGCTTGCAATGGTGGGGAGCCAGCCTGCCCCCCAGACAAGCTGCCCAGGGCTCCGTCCCACCCCCCACACAGGTCCTGCAGCTGTGCTTTCCAGCCCTGGGCCCCAAGCCCCACGCACCACCCCAGGTGTGCAACAGTCCTAGTCCTTCCCAGCTACCTTCCACCTTCACTATGAGGGCCTCAATTCCACCCCCCCCACCTCCTCCACAACTTGTCTGCAGGAGCTGCTTTCCAGGCTGCCTGGCAGCCATGTGCATATGTATGCACACCATGGGCACCTGCACATGGTGCCCCTGCTGATCTCTCTTCTCCTGCTCCCCACAGCCCCTGACAGGCTGGAACTCTGCCAGCCTGCAAGGGGAAACTTATTTCCTGCACTCTTCTCCTTAAAATCAGAATAGCCATTTTTTACCACGATTTTCCATGGCAAATGTAAAACCTGGATGCCTGGTAATCAGTAGCTTGGTATCATGTTATTACATGGTATTCAGTAGCGTTTTACATGTTGAATGAATGCTCAATCTGAAGTGAAATGTAAGCAGCTAAACTTAGTAGTTAACATTACCCTTAGCCATCAAATTTAATGTAATAATGCTCTTTAAAAACAATCTGGACTCAACTAGCTCATAACTGAAGACTGGAGAAAAGCATTTGGTTTCTATTTTAAGAGCAAAATTGATTTTATTTTTTAATTTAGACAGTCTTCTTGTCCTTAAAATAGGCAAATGAAGCCAGAAAATGTTGCTGCAGAAGTGCAGCTTTTTATGTGCTCATAGGATCAGAAGTATACCGATAAGACTTTCAGGAGTGGCTAATTCTGTGGGTTTTTTAAGGAGTTGGATCAAGAGACATGAAAATGTAAATATTGGACACTGCTGGAGAAGGGTCAGCAATAGCTCCACCCTTTCCCAAACTAAAATGACTAGAAATGGATATTTTCTGTGGCTGCATAAATACCAGGAAGGGGAAGGAAGGGGGGCAGAGAAAAACCTAATCTGGATAGATAACTTTGCTATTTCAAAGCATTTGTCTTGAGGATCCTTGCATGGCAAGTCCATTTCTACATATGTCTAGACTTTAGGTTAATGAGTCTTGACCTAGATTGGGTCATTTGGGTACTGTCAGAATACAAATGACAAAAGATCTTACAGCTTTCTTATAGGCTTTAACTGTCTGTGGTAGAGGCATTTTGCAAGTGTTGGGTATTTTTATTGCCATTTTATAAATGAGGAAATTAAGCCAATGAGAGAAGTGTGTACTGGAGCCAGAAATAGAATGCATCTCTTAGCTCCCTGTCCTATGCTGTGACCTCAAGACTATACTTCTTACCAGGTTTGGCTTCTTGTTGGTTTCCATTTCGCTAATTGAATCATCACGTTAAGTTTGTGGCTGTGTTGTAGCTCTGGAGTGGGAGAAAAATGGAGATTAAAGCTCAGTGTCAGAGAAGATTTGGTTGTTTGGACATGCTGCCTTCTAATTTACATGATTTTGCTGTCACCATGGAGAGGTGCAGCATATAGCTGGCTGGTGTTAAAAATTTTACTGCAAACAGGCTGCCTCTACACATGCGCTTAACTGTTGAGTAGACTAATTAGCTGCTGAGTAAAGCATCATCACTTACGCGTGCAGCAGTATTAGGCCACAGTAAACTAATTAACACCGCAGTAAGATAGTTGGCGACAGTACTATCTTCTGCTGGGGTAATTTACTACGATTTAAATGCACGTGTAGACACTGACTGCAGGCATAAATTCTGCCCGGTCAGCCCAGCCCGTTGGGGGCCAGACTTCTGCCTGCCACCTAGCCTCACAGCTCCATGCTTTCAGGACCCTCATGCCTTAGCCAGCCCTTCCACTGCCTGACATCGCCACTTGGAGCCTGAGGCCAACCCCCGTGCTACCTGCCAACCTGGGCTTGCTCAAATTGCTGCTGTGTCAAACATATGTGTAGACTCTGTGCCCAAGAGTAGTTTACTCCAGCTCAAACTGCTCCAGAGTTTATTGCTTCACATTTAATTGCACATGTAGACGCACCCACATAGTGTAGACCATGACTCGGCAGAATGATGTTCTATAGGCTATGTTCCTTTCTACACTGGCTGCAAAAAAGCATTTAATATGTTGCAGACCTTTCTTCTTTAAGGTTGTAGTATTCAGTAGAAAGTTAGACCGAACGCTGCATAGTGTATGCCTTATTAGTTTGACATTATTGCAGTATCCTTTTAAATGTCTTTTTTAAGGAATATGAATTCATATACATTTAAATTAAGCATACTGAAAATAGTTTTGACACATCTTTGTGTAGTTTAACTAGCTCTATGATGCAATTTCATGAAACATGAAAGTTCAGGAATTATTAGTCTTCTAGATTTTTTTAATTAAATAAAGATTAATTAGTGCTAAAGAGAAAAACAGGATTGAAAAACATGGAAATGGCAAGACAATAAAGAATGATAATAGATGCATAAATCTAAAACTAGGTATTGAAATTAAAGTTGTAAATAGCTACTCTTTTGTCCTTTTTTTTCCTATAGAGTGTAACAGCCAAAGGCCTTGGACTCTGTATACAGAATGTGTCTTAGTTTTTGTAAAGTTTTTGGATTCTGTGGCACTTAGTAGCAGAACAAGTTTTGCACCTCCTTTCTGTAGATCAAATATAGAGGTTAATAATGAATTAAATAAGATAAATATGCTAATCCCTTTATTTTGCTCACATTTATAGCAATCCAGCAGCTGCATCATACTGAAAAGTTAACAGGACAGAAATCTATATTGGACTATTCAGATGTCAGTTTGAGCAGGTGGATAGCTTGAACATTTTTGGCACTGGGGCAAAAAAGGAAAGGCTGTCAGGCATTATAGGATACATACACTAGCTGGAGGTTTCTGCTAAAATGATCAACGGTGAAACAGTCAATGCTGATTAATTCTTCTTCTTGGGAGTAAATCTTTCATTTAGATAAATGGTGTAATTGATACGTCGCCATAGCTCTTGGTTTAGGTTGGGGTGGGCAAAATACAGCCCGTGAACCAGATCTGGCCCATCAGCTGATTGGATTCAGCCCACAGGCAGGCACCCACCAGTTAATTGTATCCACCCCATCTGTGGCTGCCCCTGCTGCGCTCTGCCTGTGGCTGAGTCCTGCCTGGGGCAGAGCGTGCTGTGCTCTCAGCCTCCCCTGCCAGCAGGCCAAGCTTCTGAGCAGGGCTACTGCTGATTCCACTGCCCAGGGAAACTGCTGGGCTCCCCCAGCCTCCAGCAACTCCTCTTCCTGTCCCTGCTGCAGTGCTCCGGGCAGCAAGTAGGGAGAAGCTGCAGTGTTGAGGGGAGCAGGCTGGGCTCTGCCTGCAGCTCACTCTCTGGTCCTGCTCATGCTGGGTAGGAGAGCATGTGTGGATGGAGGCGGGTGGAGGGCAAAGGGGTGCTTGCAGAAGCTTAGCTGCTCACAAAGCCCTGATGGGCAGGCAGGGACAGACAGGAGGTAGGGAACAGCAGCAGGAACACTGTGCACTTCAGTGCAGCCCTGCTGGGCAGGCATGTGAGAGACAAGCAACAGGAGCAAGAGCCAGCACAGGCTCAGCTGCAGCCCCACTGGGCAGGTGTGGGACCGAGACTAAGAGAGCTGGTGATGCCAAGTGTGGCTCCCTGCCCCACCTCCCCTCTTGCAGGGGCTTCTGTTGCTGCCAGCCAGTGTCAGCTGCTTTCCTGCCCTTTTGCAGCACACTGTGAACCAGGCAGGCAGCGCCAATCCCCTTCTCCCTCTCCCTGCCTGCAGAGGGGCTGGGCTCAGCCACATCTCAAAGAGCAGGCATGGGAGAAGCCCCCCACGTGCACACCCAGTCCACCCACAGCCCACACATGCACCCCCCCATACCCACACACACATCCAACACTGTCCCACACACCCCACCATACACATCCCACACACATACACCCACACTCTGACCCCCACCACACACACACACGCACATAGCCACACACACCTACACCTCCCCACATGCACCCACACCCCCACACATCCCACACACCCCAACCAGACCTCACACACATCCACATATACACCCCAAACACACCCCACTCACACCATACCCCCCACACACAGCAGTCCCACACACCCTACACCTCAACCACACCCCCACATTCCACCCCCCCAGGTCGAGTATGACCCATCCACCACCACCCTCTGAGTG